TGTTACTGTTTGTTAATGACTTGGTGTTGCCATGAGGTAGACTCTCTTTCAGATGATGAGAAAATACGAAACCATATTTTAATCTCTTCTCTGGAAGGCTGGTGTAACCAGCAGCAGCTTTTGCAGTGCAGTTTATCCTTTCTGATTCTTACACGAGTTTAACTCATCCTCCTTGACAATACATAGGGAGATAAACTCTGTGAGTAGAACTATATATAAAACTTGGCTAGGGAAGCACCTCAAATGAGATGCAGTAAGCTCAACTGTCAGTTGTGAAAGTCAGTAGTTGCAGGTGCTTGTCAGACACACACAAAATGCCTTTCATGTTTGTCACTCACTGTATTTAGTCACATACACAAAAGTGATGTAACACTGGAGTCTGCTGTAGTTACATGGCACAGATACAGAAACTGTTTTAACAACTGTTAACTAAAGTTTTGCCATATATTCAGATTGAAAACACTCTCAGAGCACAAAATGCATACCATCCATGTTTCAAAGTGACAAAACTTGCCAAAGATGTCAAAGCGAAGACTTCAGTTCTTCTTGTCTCTGTGCTCCCACTGCCCTGCTGACTTGTTAAAAACCCAACTGGTAGTTAAAAACCTAACTGATAGTAGAAAGCATTTTCTAAAATAACACATGTATCACTGACTCCTATCTAAATTTATATGTATAGGTCAGGCTTCAGGGGAGCTTTATATGAGGTGTATTTTTTTAAGCATGTTGCTTAAGCACAGTACAAGTGCATTGTAATGTTTTGTAAAATGTCATTTAAGCTAAGGGAAAGCAGTTACGTTGGCATGCTCTCAAGTTTTGGTTATATGCCAGGAATTCTTGCAAGCTTGGTACCTAGAATATTGACTGCGTTTAAATACAGATTGTTGGGAATGGGATTTGAGATGCAAGTAATAAATGTCCTTCACTTACCTGATAAACAGAGTACCTAGTCTGAAGATTCCATTAGTGTATTTGTATGTGAGATTTCTTCTCATACCGTTCTAATTAATCATATCGTTGAGGCAGCTTTTGTTGGTTTAGTAACACAAAATCAGTTACTTTGCAAACTTTTGAAAGCTTCCTTAGGGGAAACTTGAGGTTGCATTTAAGTTTTTTATATGTTTGACTGTGTGTGTTTGAATTCTTAACAGTGGCTCAGGATTATAGTGTAATCTAAACTGTGTCCTGTAGTATTGGGCATAGTAATAAAATTGTAACTAGATCATTATTTGGAGTTATTTTTCACACTATTTTATAGTGAGTTAACCTTAAATTTTTTTTTCTTTTTTTTTTAAGAAGTGGAAGAAAAGGTTTGGATTCTGCAGCAGTTTCAGTTCAGGTGTACTTAAATACTTGCCTTCTCCCAGCTTGCTGCAGCTAAAGTACTAGAGCAGAAGGATTTGCTGGAAAAAAGGGCTGTAACTCTACAAAGTATTCTCAATGCTAATCATACAAAAAATAGAAAGAAACCATATGAAGAAATTATTACTGTTAGAAGAAGTAGAAATATGTGCTAATAAAATCTGATTTCCTATGGAAAGATCTAGTGTCCCTTGTCGTGCTACATGATTGCGTTACCAGCTGTCCCTTGTATTTCCTGGCTGGGCAGATGGCTGCATCAGTGCTTTATTGGTAGCTGTGTGTTCAAACTGGTCAGCTGGCTGGGTTTGGGTGTTTTGTGGTGTTTTAAGAGAATATAAAAAGTTGTCCTTATAAATCTGGCTGCTTCTGTAACCAGGCACCAACAGAAGATATGGGAATTCAGTATCTAATCTCATCTTTGTTAAATTTAGTTGGAGCTGACAGACTCTGAGGTTAATAGCTAACGAGAAATGACTATAACCAGGCTGTGTAACTGTAAACTGTAGGTATTGTTCCCTAGAATTTTAGAACATTTGCATATCATCTTCCCAATTAGGTATTTTTAGTCCTGATGCTTTCTTAATAAGGAAAGCTTAGTTTAAGAAATTTAGGCCATATATTCATCCACACATACCACATATATGAGAAATATTATACTGTGTGGCACCATGAATGTCCAGTAACATGATCAAAGCTCCTCTGCATAGCCCTAAGGGAGCTTGGAAAGGCAATAGCGGGAGGGGGAGCCTAAATGCTACCCTGCAGAGCTGCTCCCAAGGCCATCCCTGGAGCTAGCCCATCACAAGCCGGTCTCTGCAGGCCCAGAGGAGCATAGGGGAACAGTGGGAACATAAACCAAGAACCCCAAGAAAGGAGCACCCTATCCAGGCCCCTGGGATAGGGTAGTCCAGCAGAGCATCTGCCCAGTGTCCCGTCATACTTAAAGGGATTGCTACCCACTGCAGAGATACAGGGGCTGCAGGGAAAACCGAAAGTCTCACAGGACTTACTATGGGATGTTTACATGAGAAACTGAAAGTGGGGTAAAGTTGTACTTTAGGAGATTTGAGGAGGAACAAGTGTGGAAATACAAAGGAGATGAAAAGGGCTAATCATGTGTAGGCAGTTGGCTGGTCATTAAGCTTGCCTGACCATGCCCTGCATGTGATCAGTGCCATCTGTCCTGCTCCTCACGGAGTTCCTTCCTGTTTCTCCTGTGTGAGGGATCTGTGGTTACTATGAATGCAGGTATAGGGCAGAGGGTCACCATGTCTGTGGGGCATTGACTGAAGCCAGTGTGGGTATGCGAGTGTCTAATAGCCAGCAGAGATCAAACTGGATGAGCAGGTGAAGGGGCCGGGGAGCAAGGGGGTTTGTGAGTCTGGTTTGCAAACAGGCAGGGTACTCAAAACAATCACATGGTAGCTGTACACAGTTCATTAAACAGGCACACTGAAGCGAATAAGCACACTAATGTGAATCAAATATATATCTATAGTAAACAAGCACAATAAAGCTATTCAGAGATATCTGTATGTATATACAGCACAGAGGAAAATTAGCAATGCATCAAATCATTACTGCAGAGAGAAGAGAGATTAAGAAGAAATACATTGCCAGTTACCACGAAATTATCATCTATGCACACACTTCAAGCTGGGAAGCCCCATTGCAGGTGATGCTGTGAGTCTTGGGTAGCTGGGAAAAGCCCCACACAGTGCGTCCTTCTATAGGTGAGGTTGCCTCTGAGGCTTCAGAAGCCTGCTTTGTTTCTCAGAAACACAGCTGGCTTTATGCTAAATCTATAATTTTTTACTTGTGAGGCTGTGCAGTTTCTCAGCTTCTCACTGTTGGCCACACCAAGAGCATTGGTCAGGCCCTCTGGCATGGCCAAATGTGATGGTCATAGAACAGCTGCATGCATGTTTTCCTGCCTCTTTCCAACAAATAGTAATAATGGATAATAATGTGTATACTTTCTCAAATACACTTTGTAAAAACCTGCCTCATTAATGCTTCTCGTGATCATGAGAGGGAATCGACTCTCAGTTAGGTTCCCATCCATTACAGGGTCTGTAAGGGCAGCTCTGGGTGTGACAACACCTGTATCTACAAGATTGTTTCTGTGTACCTGTGACAGTCTACTGGCAACTGGAGACAGGCTGTGGCCTAGGGACTTGTATGCATGCAGACTGGGAATGGGGAGACTGGGACCCACAGGACAGCTACTGGGAGGACCAGCTGCTGGAGGAGTCTTGCCTGTATGCGTCCTCCAGCCAGAGAGGAGAGCAGGATGAGGCCTTTGCTGCTACCTGTGTTTGTGTGAGTGCTGAGTGTCTCTCGTAGTGTATACATATGATCCATGCATTTGTGCCTGCTGGGAATCCAACATCTCTAACTTTCCCGCTGCAATCTGTGGACATTTAGCAATAGCAGCAGTCTCACCTCTCGTGGGCTGTTGGTGTATTTTCCTCTAGCAGTGAAGAGGCAAGTTAAGTATTTAAATATATCCTGAGCATATTTTTTTATTCAAGGACTAATTACCTTTTTAAGTGCATAATCAGAATGCTAGGTAGAAGATGTTTCCGTATTAGTTTTTACCAAATTATTCTTACATTAAAAAAAACCCCTTAGTTCTCTCCTAAAACTCTTCAGAAATAACAAAGCAAGCTGTAAAATATAAAGCCAGAAAGGGAAGTGTATTTAAACCTGTGCCTCCAGTGACTTGTGGTTTAGTGACTTCCCTAGGTAGAGGTGGCATCTGAATATTTAATAGCTCTCAGTTGGTTATTCTTCAATGCGTCTGCATAATTGCTGTTGAATTCATGTGTACTTGCCCATGGTGAGGAGTTCTGTAGCTTAACTGCATTATGTGAAGGAATATTTCTTTGGTTCTTACCCTGCTCGTTTCATCTCATAGACCTTAGTCCAGGGACAGGCAGAACATCTGTATTGTGGTCAGGATTTCATAGAATCATAGAATGGTTTGGGTTGGAAGAGACCTTAAAGACCATCTAGTTCCAACCTTGCCTGACGCAGACCAGGACGCTTTCCACTAGACTAGGTTGCTAGATGTTTTTTCATGGCTTGCTCTTAAAATTTTGATGGCTCTGACTATTTTTACTTATTCATAAAACTGTTTGTATAGTTTTGCTGAACAATTATAGTATTTGCTAAACAAGTATAGTATATTTGTATAGTTTTACTAAATAAATTACAGTTTTACTCAGTATTATACCAAACAATTTGGTATAGTTTCTTTTCAATTGTGGTCATTTGTTCAATTATAGAACTAAGCTGTTCCCTTTCCTGCTGCTCTTCAAAAGGCCGCTGGACTCAGTGTGTACTGTTTGCACCACTGATGCTTCCCCTGAGTCCGACAGACTGGATCTGATTCACCAGAATGTTTCATCTGACTTTCCCTATGTCCCCAGGATATGAACTGGAGCTGGCTGTGAGCCTCCTGAAGGCTGCAAAGACTGCCTGCTGAAACCACTCGCTACTCAGTTGGGAACGTCTCTATCCTTCATCTGAGTAGGCATTTGTACACCATGTCATGAGATACCATCCATCGTGTGCTTGAGATGTTGGGTTGCTTGACAGGAGAATGATGAGATGTGCAGCCTATCAGCGTTTTTACAGCCAGTTGTTGCTGATGGGTGAGGTATCAGTGGAACAGGAGCAGAAGACAGGCAGAATGAGTGTGTCCCGAAGTATGCCACTCATACATATTTTGATAATGACATAAATGCTTTGCATGTATTTAAGTAAGCTGGAGTAGCTGATGTCTCACCAGATGTGGTATGTGGATAGTATACGATATATACAAATCAAATCTGGTTTATAATTTTCAGTTTATCTTGCAGAAGATCTCATGATCTTCATTTGTGGGGTCTGTTTGTTGATTCTGATTCAAGGACTTCAGCCTTTATGGGCTAGTAGAAGTTAAATACCAAGTCAAATTAATGTTAATTGAAGCAAAACTGGGGTTTGTATTATTTCAGATGCATGAAGGATGCAGTCACTTTTGATGACTCTAGGTAAGGACTCTCTGTGACCTCTGAAATCCCAAATCATTGGTCAAAACAAGTTCTGACTGTTTTCTCTGGTTCATATATATATTCCTGCCTGGGCAGAAGTATCTTGGACCATCCCTGTAGCCTGTCTTCCTTTCTGGAGTCCGTCTCAGTGTTTTTACTGATGTGAAATCCTGTCCTCATGTTGCTTAGTGTTTTACACTCCAGCCTTCTCTGTGCATTGGTTGGAATGCATTATTGTACAGCCTTCTGAAGAATGCTACCCCTGGGATTGGCTTGATAAGGGCAATGCATGAGCTATCAAGTATTTTGTCTTCTGCAGTGTGTTTCCTCCTGCAGTGTGTGTGGCATAAAGCATACACAGACTGGGAACTGCTTGAGTGCTTGTGAACAGCTTGCTTCTAATGACCCTTGAAGCTGGAGCAGTATCTACTGGGCCTGTGCTTTCTGCAGTGAGAAGGTACAAGTAGAATGATTTCATTCTTGGTTGCAGATGGGGCTCAGCAAAGTGCTCCTGTCTTAGCTGCCCTTGTATGTGGTGGTGCTAATGGTTCAGCACTGCTGCATTTTGGAAAGTCACTGTAGTTAAAACTACAGTGCCTTCTGGTTCTAGTCCCGAAGGAAAGGAGATCCCTTGTCTCTCCTGGTGTGGTGTGTGTCTGGTGTTTTCCAGGGCATCTGGCAAGTGGGCTGCAGCATTGTACTCTGTGTAGATGAACCCTGCATATAGCCACACAACTGTTCCTTGGAGCTGTCAGTCTTGACTGGGGAGCAAGGTGAAAAAAAACGTCAGCCAGCATCTAGGCCCCCAAGAGCACACTGATGCTTAGTGATGGTACTCTAAAAGGAGCAAGAGTTTCTTTGTTACTCTGGCAACTGTTGCATCTACCAGCCTCGCCAGTCTCTTCTCAAAATTCCCCCTCGATATTTTAGTCCCATGAAATCAAGAACAGACTGTTATCTCTGGTGTACCACCTGGCCCATCTCGGGGGTGAGCAAAAGAAGATAAATGAACAATTATTTGGCAGCCCCCTCTCAACTTTGCAGAGATGGCTAGCTGGAGGGGACCTTTCCTGACAGAGACAACTGTCTGTGCGTGGTGCTTGCTGGAACAAAGGAAGGCGTAAGTTTAACCAGGTGTGTCGGGCAGCAGAGACAGACAGCAGTGTTAGCAGCAGTACTCGGAAAGCAGTCCTGGACTCTGCCACATCCCAGACGTTTCCTGCCAGGACTTGTGTCTCTTGTCGCAGCAGGCTCCCAGGTCTTCTTTTTGTCTGGCTGCTGGAGATGAGTTTCAGGGTCTGCTCTTTTGTTCCTCCTTCTTCCAGGAGGGCACCAAGAAGTATTTCCTCCCTTTCCCTTGTCTTACACTTCTCTCAGAGGAAATGTGTAGAAATAAAAACTGTGCAATTACAAAGTTTGTCTTGTTTAATGTTTTTTTAGTTTGAAAATGTTATCTTATTTTTAGTGTCAAATATGCATTGGTAGTTAAAAAGAAATAAACTCAGGTATTATCTGCATTCCTATTATTTAAAAATAAAGTGTCAAACCCAAATTCTTCTGGTTTATTACACAGCTTGATAGTGATAAGGGAGTACTGTGCCACAGTACTTAATTAAATCTTATTATGGTGTTATTTCAGGCATCATAGGCTTAGTGCTGCCAAGTTAGTGGATTTTTGATGCCACTAGTAAGCCTGGACTGTCTCCATTGCTGGAAGACATAAAGTGTCATTTATTTATTTCTTCTTTCTAAAATATTCAGGAAACAATTCAGGAAACAATTACAGTTGAAGGCAGCAGATAACTTGCCAGCAGAAAGTCCAGCTTTTCAGTGTTTAGGTACAACTGAAGTTCTTTGTGAGCCTGTATCTGTTGGAGAGGGCAAAGGTTCTTTGTCCAGTGGACTATGTCATGAAATCCTTTTCCAGCAAAGACCTGCAAAACATATGTTTTGTCTCATTACAGACAGAGGAGGTGGGTGAATGCCGGCTGCCTCTCAGCTGGGGAACAGTAGCTACTTTTGCAGTAGCTACAGCCTGACAGTTGAGGTGGTCTGGGGCCATTCTGTGACATCTTTTGTGACCTAATGGTTTTAATCTTCATGTTTTATGTTAGTTTGCCACCTCTTCTGTCATGAATTCAGATCTCTTCACCTACTATAGTACCAATTCCATTAATTTTATATCGTCTGATGTTAGTCAAGTACTGCAAAAGCTGCAAACTTGAGCAAGTCCCTTTGTTTGTCCAGGTTGCCCCTAAGGCATTTCATAAGCCTGGGAATCAGAAAATGGCAGCTGTTCACCACACACTAGTGTCTATAGTAGCCTCAAGACAGGCTTAAGACCAGAGAGTATCTGTAAGTCTTTTCTGCAGGACAACTGTCTGTAGCCACCTCTCCTGGCAACACAAAACTTTGTTATTTAACGACAAAAAGTGTAGCAGGGCATGGTTCTCTGCCCCCTCCTTCTGTAGCTATTGGAAACACTGGCAAGTTTTGACTGAGGATACCTGTATTTAAGTCCAACATGGTTTATAGCTGTGGGACTAATAGAAAAGGTGGGAGGGGCTAGCTTTGTCCCCTTGCTGGATGGGACCAGCATGTATACAGCATGTGCTTGTTCAGTTCTGCCAGTGGCTGGTGTGACTGAGAAACCTAATCACATGCTGCTGGCAGAATAACCTCCAAATGAGTTCAAAAGAAGTATGTTCTTAATAAAAGAGGATCAGGAACCTTTCCACTTTCCCCTGACATGTTAATAGTGATAATTCAAGGCTGGGGAGCATTGCAGAGGTACTTTCCTTGTAGGAACCAAGTTGCTGCTGCAAAGCCACAGATCCTCCTAATTCCACAGCTGCCTGCTTACATATATGTAAGTGTGTAAATCCATCAGTGGTCTTCAGTGCATTGCTTGTCTTTCTGACCTTTAACCAGCACAGTCTTCAGTATGTGTCTCAAAGTTGGTAGTCTCTGGTCTGTCCTGCCTTCCTTACTGCCTTTAACCTTCAGTAAAGGAGAGCACAGAGCTTTGAGATGCAGCTTGAGACAAGAGCTGTCTCCCTTCTTTTCCATGAACTCTTTTTTTTCTGTGTTTCTGTGTTGAAAGTAGATACCTGAATGTCAGTTCTGCACAGTATCTGAGAAACTATGCAGAAAGTCATTTGCAGAAGGTGAAGCTGGATTAAATGAGATGAGAATTAAAGGTCAGACTTTTCAGCAGGAGGTTATCAAAGGATGCAGTACATTATTCACAGATTTAAAAAAAAACACCCAGGATTAAATGTTTTACTGAAGAGTGTGTTTTAGTTTGGACAGGAGCTAACGGAGGTGAAATGACCTGTGTTACGCAGTTTGCAGCAGAACTGCCCATGACATGTCTGATGCCGAGGCGGCTGTTATTCTAGATCAGCTCCATGGCAGAACCTGTATATTCTTATTCCTAGTCTGCTCCTGCAAGATTGCCAACTTTGATGCAGTACCAATGTGACAGTGGTAAATTAAGATCCGTTATTGTTCATTGGTGTTTCAGCTGCCATCTTGCATTGTTAAGTCCAGTTTGGCTGTGGTCTGAATAGGACTTCAATTGTTTTTTATATTATAGTTTCTTCTGTTCTGTTTTACAGGATCATGGATTTTCCAGGACATTTTGAGCAAATCTTTCAGCAGCTCAACTACCAGAGGCTTCATGGCCAACTTTGTGACTGTGTCATTGTGGTGGGAAACAGGCATTTCAAAGCCCATCGCTCTGTTTTGGCAGCATGTAGCACACATTTCCGAGCTCTGTTTACTGTAGCAGAAGGAGATCAGACTATGAATATGATTCAGCTGGACAGCGAAGTGGTGACAGCAGAAGCTTTTGCTGCTCTGATAGACATGATGTATACTTCCACACTAATGCTTGGGGAGAGCAATGTTATGGATGTCTTGCTGGCAGCTTCTCACTTACATTTGAATTCTGTTGTTAAAGCATGCAAGCACTACCTTACTACCAGGACACTGCCGATGTCTCCACCAAGTGATAGAGTTCAAGAGCAAAATGCACGCATGCAGAGGTCTTTCATGCTGCAGCAGCTTGGACTGAGCATTGTGAGCTCTGCCTTAAATTCTACTCAGAGCACAGAGGAACAACCAAATACTATGAGCTCCTCTATGAGAAGTAACATTGAACAGCGCACTACTTTCCCTATCCGTCGTCTCCACAAACGTAAACAGTCTTCTGAAGATCGGGCCAGGCAGCGCATTAGACCTACCATGGATGAGTCTGTTTCTGATGTGACTACAGAGAGTGGGCAGTCAGTAGTTCATTCACGGGAAGACTTCTTCTCACCGGATTCACTGAAGATTGTGGACAACTCTAAGGCTGATGCTGTTGCTGATAACCAGGAGGATAATACTATTTTGTTTGATCAGTCTTTCAGTACTCAGGAAGATGCTCAAGTGCCCAGCCAGTCTGACAACAGCGGAGGAAACATTTCACAGATGTCTATGGCATCCCAGACAACACAAGTGGAAACCAGCTTTGACCAGGAGGCTGCTTCTGAGAAGAACAACTTCCCATGTGAGAATCCAGAGGTCAGCATGAATGAAAAAGAGCACATGAGGGTGGTGGTGAAGTCTGAGCCCTTGAGTTCCCCAGAGCCTCAAGATGAGGTGAGCGATGTCACTTCCCAAGCGGAGGGGAGCGAGTCTGTTGAAGTGGAAGGAGGAGTAGTAAGTGCAGAGAAGATAGAACTGAGTCCTGAGAGCAGTGATCGTAGCTTTTCTGACCCACAATCCACTACTGATAGGGTGGGAGACATCCATATCATGGAGGTATCAAATAACCTGGAACACAAGTCTACCTTCAGTATCTCAAATTTTCTAAATAAAAGTAGAAGTGGTGGCTTCAGTGCCAATCAAAACAGCGATGACAATATTCCAAATACCACCAGTGACTGCAGAATGGACAGTGATGCCCCTTACCTAATAAGTCCAGAGTCAGGGCCTGGTGTTGGCCATTCATCTGCCACTGTTTCTCATGTCGAGAATCCATTTAGCGAGCCTGCAGATTCTCATTTTGTTAGACCAATGCAGGATGTGATGGGTCTCCCCTGCGTACAGACTTCTGGGTACCGTGCAGCAGAACAGTTTGGCATGGATTTTCCACGGTCGGGCTTAGGCTTGCACTCCCTGTCGAGGGCAATGATGGGCTCAGTAAGAGGTGGAGCTAACAGCTTTCCTGGTTACCGACGCATAGCCCCTAAAATGCCTGTGGTGACTTCTGTCAGGAGCTCCCAGATGCAAGATAACTCATCCAGTTCCCAGCTGATCATGAATGGGACCACTTCTTTTGAAAACGGGCATCCATCGCAACCTGGTCCGCCACAGCTGACACGGGCGTCTGCAGATGTCCTTTCAAAATGCAAGAAGGCCTTATCGGAGCACAACGTCTTGGTTGTAGAAGGTGCACGCAAGTATGCATGCAAGATCTGCTGCAAGACGTTTTTGACCTTGACAGACTGCAAGAAACACATCCGTGTGCATACGGGAGAAAAGCCTTATGCCTGCCTCAAATGTGGCAAGCGGTTCAGCCAGTCCAGTCACCTGTACAAACACTCCAAGACAACCTGCCTGAGGTGGCAGAGCAGCAATCTGCCTAGCACTTTGCTTTAACCTTATCCACTCCAGGCCTGAAGGAGCATGCCAGTGCAGACATCTAGCTCCCTGAAGTACCTGAACATGAACACTGTTTTCTTGAAGGCTGCAGGCTTAAAAGCTGCTCTGGTCAGTCAGTGAACACAACATAGGATTGTGCCACACACACAAAAGTCTTGGTTCTATAAATTGGGGATATTACTGTACCTACCTCACAGGGATGTTGTGAGGCTTAAACAGCTGTAAGCAGAGAACTTGAGGATCATCAGAAGTCACACTATAGGTGTGTGATTACAGTGATGTACATTCAGGCCTTGGGCTGATGGGGATAAAATCAATAAAGCTCAGCAGTTCCTTTGCAGGGCAGAGGAGTGAGAGCATAGTTAATCTCAAGAAGTAGCATGTTTCAAGAATGAGAAACTAAGTGCAAATTTCCTCTTTCTTCTTTTTTTTAATTCTCCCCCCCCCCCCAAAGTATTTTGTAAAATTTCAAGCATTTAAATAAATGACCTGTAAACCAAGTTGTTGCATTATGTGTGGACAGTAATGCAAGCACTGTTTACTGTAACTGATGCAGACCATGTATCTTGAAAAGAGAAAACTTTGGATGCACCTGTCTGACATAATGCTTTAAAATATGCTAATTATAAGAATAGTTTTAGGGTCATGAATGTATGTTTGGCTGTTTTGTAGTAAAGGACACTGTGTAATGAAGGTGCTTAAATTAAATCCAAGACAAGTAACTTTTGGACTGCCAGATGTGTATATGATTTGAATACAGCAAGATCTGGATGTTTGATTTTTTTCTGTAGAAACTTGTAAGTGGTAAGTGAAGTACTGTTTCTTGTTCGTGCTATTCTTAGCAGTATTTTAACCAATTTGTATCTCCTATGTTAAAATTCTATATACACGGAAGTCTGAAAAGAGCTTGCCTTTGTCTGCTTTGTTATTTTCAAGGAGAGAGATAATTTGTGATGGCTTTTTTACTGCGTAAGATAGTCTCTTGCTGTTTCCAGATGCTGTCAATCTGATCCCTGTTATTGCAGAAACATACTGTTTTTTTTCTGACACTCGTATCTTTAGGCTTTAATTTCCTCCTCTGTACACTTACTTACTTTTCTTCACAAATGTGGATTGTTCTTCAGGTCAAACTAGTCAGGGATAATCCTCATCTGCCGTATTTATCTATGTCTTTATAAAATGTAGTTGTCAAATCTAGTCCTTCCTGTTAAAGCAGTGTCAAAAATGTACTTTTCCACATACATTTATAAAAAAAAAATTAATTTAAAAAAATAGCACTGTACACTTTGTATAGCAGAAATTCAGTGATCATTATTCATCAAGTGAGTTGTGTAAATCTTGCTTTAATTTCCTTTTCTTTCATGCTATTGTAACTAACACTGTCTGCAGTGGTTTGTTGTTTTTGTTTTTTTTTTTTTAATTAAAGATACACATGAACTAACTACAGGCATTCAGCATATTAGATTTGTAAATAAAATTTTTGGGCATTTCTGCTGATAAATACTGCCCTGCCTTATAGGAGCTGGGTCAGAGCTACAGCATGTCTTTTCTGCTCAGGAGAGACAGGATTTACATTTCCTAGTGTCTAAGTCACAGAGCAACAGCTTTCCATTAATATTAAAAAAAGAATGGCAAATCTTCTGCTCTTTTATTATTCCGTGTAGCAAATGTATCCTCTGTGATGATATTCAGCAGTTTTATGGAATTTGTGCTACCTAATAGTTAGCTTTCTTAAACATCTCAGATTTATATTTAGATAAACTGAAAATAAAGTCCTAATCCACAGTTCTGTAGGTCATTTAACAGTATGATATCAAAACTGTTGAAGCACAGAAACCAAACAGTCACTAAACTGTCACAAACCAAAGGAAATATAGAAATCTTTCTGTACCTGGCTTTATGTGAAACAGTAGTCCACTAATAGGGAAGTGTGTCTTCATCTCTAATTACACTGCTTCATGTTTAAGAAAATTGCCAGATGTCTGTCAAAGTGTCATTTGTACCTTGAGCATCCAAGTTAAACAGGAACAGTGAATGACTGGATTAATTTGTTTAAAATATTAATATGTTGTCATAGGATTTATTTAATGGTCATATTTCTGGCTCTTGATTTTATAAGCATTAAGGAAATGTGCTGCATTTTTTTAAAGCATTAGGATGTGCCGTATTTTAATTTATAATAATTTTGGTATCAGGGGACTAACAGCATTGAGCTATACTAAGCAATCTCACTGAAACATTAATAAACTGCAGTATTTTGTACTTCAGTATTTTCTCGTGTAGCCTTATTAGTAATGTCCTGACATCGTTTCAACTCCCTTGCATTTATAGTGTTTTGTTTTAAAAATAGGGGGTTTTTATATTTTCTGTCTGGTCCTATAGCACATCTGAATTCCTTGAATTCTTACACATCACAATAAAGCATCTATCTGAGTAACGAGATTAGAGTAATTAAGAACTAATATGAGCAGATAAATATACTTAACCATGCTTTTGATCTGTTTTTGTAAAAATGATATTTCAGAATACCAGAACTTGTGCAGGAGGACTTCTTTCTTTAAGAAAAGATTCAACTTAGAGCATTTTTTGGAAGTAGCAATTTTAAATTTCATTATTCATTGACATCTAGTGCATCTGGAGGAGCACACTGCAAACCTGGGAGCCTGTGGCTGGCTTGCTGCTATCTTAGACTTCCAGTATGAAGCAATACCTCAGAATGGTTATCTCCACTTAACTGTCCTCTACAGTAAAACGAGAGTCTCTCATCTCAAAGCCTAGTAGCTAGTAGCTTTGTCAGAATTTATCACCCTGACTTTTGTTCAAAATTTAACTTTGCAAATGCTACAGTGACATCTCATGTGAAGATGTCCGTATGTTAGTATTATGAAGCATCTGAAAATAAACCCTGCATTTTTGTGCTGCTGTGTCTGATTTACTTGTTTATGTGTTATCCTGAGGTCTTTGCCCAAGGCATATAATGTATTGACTAAACAAGTAATGCTTGTGTGTTAGCTGACTGGACTCTTTGTGTTACTAGATCACTTGACAGTGCAAAATAATCCTATTGAAATGTAGGCACACACATAACGCATTTTTTGTGAGATGAGGTCAAGCATGTAGTGCTGCCCATGGCTGGCATCCTGCTTCATGCTGAGGCTTTGCCGATTTTAAGAGGATGTGTAGTATTTGATCAACTAGAAGTGGTTTCATACTTGAGCCAGTATAAAATCTCAAAGGACTGTGTTGTCCCATCAACACTTCAGCTTATAGCCAGAGTGTGGCTGTACTTGACTGTAGTGGTTTTGATCAGGCTCAGAGTGATGATGTCTTATGGACCCACTGCCTCAGTGCGATGGGCTGTATTCTGGCTAGCTCTCTGCTCTGGAGGTGATATTAAAGATGTTTCCTGCAGATCATTTGAGATGCCCTGCAGCTGGCTGACCTACTTACAGGGATTTCTGCCACAACCTGGATGGGAAGGGGTGCATTGCCTGCATATCCCCCATAAGACAAAGGCTGTAAAGCCTTGGGATTCTGGGAGCATCCTTAGTTGTGCATGGAAATTATTGACCTTTTTTTCAGCTGTCTCACCGACACATGTGCTTGTGCTGGCAGGGTCAGTGGCTGATAATGGTGCAATTAATTTTGATTATAACATCTGAATGCCCATCAGTGACCTCCCGTGTCTGCAGCTCATGGCAACTAACAAAGACTGGCTTGGTGACTTGCATAATAAAATGTATTAGTGCTGACAAGACTAAATTTCATGACATGTCTTGAATAGACATCAGAGTCATTAAATAGATTTTGAAAAGGCATAAAACCAACAGTCTGTAGTTTAAAAGCTGTATTCCACTCTTAATTTTTCTTAATAATAAGTGAAGTTCAGTCTGGAGCTTCCTGTAAAAAGGAATGACTGAATTAACGTGTCAGTTGGTAGAAATCATAAATCAATACTACATCTGTGTAACCCTGCGTTTGTAGGAGTGCATGCTTAGCTGAAGCGCAGTGTTCAACTTACACTGTCGAACTTGCTGTTCTTGCCAGAAAATGTACTCTTGGAAGGGCTGTGGCAGTTTCCTTTTGGAAAACTTGCATCAGGCGAGGCTTCATGTTCTGTCCTCTGCTAGTTGTACCTGCAGATGGCTGTTACACATTGGTGACTTCAGCAGGGTACTGCAGCCTCACTAGGTCAGTCCACAAGCATCTCTGACTCCTAATTCAACCATGTAAAACACTACCAAACCACAACAAGAATTCAGAAAGCCCATGATTGTTTAAACAGCAGTAGGTTCTTCAAGGGCCACTTCTGTGGCATTTTTACCACCTTTCACTGCGTATGTGTTACACAGTGTGGGCTGACCCCTGTAAGCAGCTGAAAAAAGCAAGCAAGGTACTCAGCTCCACAGACACTGGCTACCTGTCCAGAGGGTCTGTGTTCCCATGCCTCTTCCTTGCTGTGTTCTGGGCTCTTCCTGCTGCTGTGAGCATGCTGTGAATGAAGAAATCACTGCTGGTGTGAGATGTTGTTTCCCTTAAAGCAGGTTAAGTGGTGCATGTCTCCTTGTTTGCATCAGCCAAATAATCACCGAAACAGGACATGCAAAAGGCACCTGCAAAGTGATTATTGCTCTTTATGCAAGGCTGTAAAGAAATACTTGTTCTTAGCAAAAAGTAATCATGAAAGCCTGTACTTTACTCATTAACAATTTTGTTCCTGGTAGAATATACTTTAAGAGATTATTATTATGGTTGTTTCTGAAATAATGTTAATATCTACATGACATCTGTAAAATCCATAATCCACTATGGTTGCTGCTCTCTGAATTCCCATGGGAACATGTTGACACTGGTCAAGAAGCTCAGTGCATCTACTGAGATGCTGCTGCTTGCTCACCACACTGGCTAGCGATTTAGTTGGTGGCATAAAGTTTTGGCTAGGGATTGCTGGTATGGGTTATGTCCGTAACTTGCTGAGCAAGAAATCCTGTTAAGAGGTGTTTGCCTTTGGACAGAGATGCAGCAAGGCTTACCTGTGCTGTGCTGTCATTAGGCTCAACTCTGACACTCAAGACTCACCCAAAAAACTACAGGTTCATTGAAGCTGGGGCAGAAAGATAAGGTTATCATTTTATCATTTACAGTTGTAAGTACTTTTAGAAAGCAAGACCTTTTTGCTAAGGGCATACTGATGATTTCTCTGTGTGGCAGAGCAAAATGATAGCTGCAGAAGGTTCCCTTCTCGAAGAAATTCGAAGATGTGACACCTGAAATGTGCTTCAGTCACTACAGCAGCCTTATTTACAAGCTTGTGTCTATTTCTTAATGTGCTCAGGAATCTAATACAAGTGCTCAGGTACCAGTCCATTTACACTTAACTATTTCTCACATTATTAGGGGTCTCAATAATCTCTCAAATATTTAGTTAACATCCTTCAGCATTACAGTAACTTTACCAATACCAGGATCTTTAGGGTCAAACCTCAAAAAATCATGCAGACCAGCAAACTAACTTGATGGACTTACATCCATGTAATACAGCCAAGGTTTTCACATCAAAGTAAGTCCTTCTGTTAAGTCACTTGGAAATTTCCAGCCAGTTGAGATGCTCAGGAGCCCATTCCCTTCCTATCTACCATGGCTATCAATGTTTCCTTGGTCAGCGGAGGTCTTACTAGAAACTTCCCAAACACTCTGCTTCTGATGGGCAGTACTCAAGCAAGGCTTGTGAATCAAAACATATTGATAAACACGCCAGATACTCTCTGAGGCATGAAACAAAGGTCCTCCTTTAACTAGTCAGCATCTATAATTAAGAAACATCTTCCAATAGCTATTATTGCTATCAGAGTATGGTTCACTTAACATCAAGAGAAATTCAAGTAGAGCATTCAGTATGAAGAACACTTGCAATGGCACAGAGACAGAAGTTGAGTGTACTAGATGACCTTTAATTCCCAAGCACAGGCTTTTCTCCCTGTCTTCCAGCTTCCTCCCTGGACCAGGCTTACACTGCTGCCAGCTGCTGCCTTCCCCTCTCACCTCTTAAGTAATGTTCTGGATTATTATGCAGGACCCTGCTCAGTTTTTATATATGATGAGAACTGGAGACAACAGTGCACTGCTGCTCTCAAGAGATGCAGCCTTTTTCCTCTTGCCAGAAACCTTCCTGTGCTGTACACTAACAAGCAGTGAATTAAGCAGCTGAGGCATGTTACGGCTGGTTACTGTCTTGGGCTGTCTTCCAGAGGCTGTTCTCTGTCCATGTGGCTGCATTGCTACCTCCAGGCTTGAGCACCTTTGGTGTCATGCCTGCCTGGTGTGCACTACTTGCCTTGTGCCTGATGTGCTGGGAGAAGTGAAGCTGCACTGGGCAATGGTTGCCTTCCAGGAGTGGGATGGCTGGGTTGTTCGGTGGTTTTTTTTTTGAGTTCTCTTTTTGCTATCTCTGTTTTCATTATTAGTAGTAATTGTATTTTATTTTAACTATTAAACTGTTCTTATCTTAACCCACGGTTTTTACCTTTTCTCTGATTATCCTCCCCATTCCACAAGGGCAGGGGGTAAGTGAGGGAGTGAGTGGCTGTGTGGTACTTGGCTGAAGTTAAACCATAACACTGTCTCTTAGCTGTGCTTAATCCCAGCTGAAGATGGCTCCTCCAAAACCACAAGCTCCTGAGTTGTGTTTAGGTGGTGTGCTGTGGAGCACATGGTGGGCTCCTGTGCCCATGAGGCCAATGGAGCTGCTGCAGTCCTGTCTTTGGAAACATAGTATGCTGTCAGGGGTAGTGGCCAGCTGGTTGGTGCAGGTGCTCCCTTGCTGTCCAAGCCTGTAACTGCTCAGCAGCCTCAGCACCTGCCCTGGCGGAATACACTGGGCATGCTTTGTGTTCTGTGTCTGTGGGACAGATTCCCCTGGGGTCAAGCAAACTGACATGTTTACTTGCTTCCTCCTCTGCTCCACACCTCCCACAGCCTTGGGAATGAGGCTGTCCTTTGCTCCATATGCTGCTCTGAATGCTGAAACCTGGGGAGAAGAGTGACAAGGCATGGAGAGAAGGATGGCCAGTGGAGAGCCACAGCGCACAAGGAACCCAAGTCCAGGCCTGCTTTTCACCACTTTCCACAGCACAGTGGCTGGGAGCACATGGGGTTGGGAGGAGGCTAGTTTAACACTGGTGAGAGCCATCTCCACACCATGCAGCAGGGGCTGGCCAGGGCAGACGGCACCATGCAGCCATGACCGGCAGGTGTGTGAACAGATCCTGCAGTCAGCAGGCAGGGTGATCCATCTGCCTCGTTGTAGTAGGTGCCAGGAGGGCACAAGGGGATGGGACCATGGCAAGACCACCCTGCACCTCTAAGCAGCCTTGCCACCACTGGGCAGTGATGGGCCATCTGGACCCCAGTCTCATCCCCCACCAGCTCTAGCACACTGCTCTCACCAAGGCTTTCCCCACAGCCCTGCAGAGGTAGAACACAGAAAGAAATTAAATTGAATTGGCTTCCTCATTATACATTTGTTCATAAATTGAGAACACAAATTAACAACTTGCGGATGTGTCCAGCTCTGGCAATGCTGTTGCTGCAAGACTAGCTACAGAAAAAGTTTCTGCTAGATCTCCAGTGAAGTAACAGCAACGTGCTTGTTTAATGCTGTTGAATTCAAAATGCAGCATTCCTAGACATCAAATCCTGTCCTTTTACTCCCAGTTGGGTGTTTTCCTTTGCTGTGTAGTAACCTTTTAACAACTACTCCCCGAGTGCTGGCCGTACAGGATGGGAAAATTTCTGGTCTATACCATGAACCTGTGACCCTGCCTCCTAACCAAAGAACATTTCCCATGGACCCCAAAGGGCTCAGATCCCATCTGAGGAGAGATGCCTGACCTGGCCTTGCTTGCAGCAGACTGGGAAAGACTGCTGCAGGGGAC